ATGCTATGAACATAGGGGTGGATATGTCCTTCCTGATTCATGTTTCTGATTTCTTGGGATACATTCCTAGAAGTGGGATCACTGGGTCAAATAGAAGTTCCATTTTTAATTTTTTGAGGAATCTCCATACTGTTCTCCACAGTGGCTGCACCAGTGTGCATTCCCACCAGCAGTACAGGAGGGTTTTTGTTTTTTTCTTCACATCCTCGCCAGCATTTGTCGTTTGTTGATTTGTTGATGATAGCCATTCTGACAGGTGTGAGATGGTACCTCATTGTTGTTTTGATTTGCATCTCTCGGATGGTTAGTGACTTTGAGCATGTTTTCATATGTCTCTTGGCTTTCTGAATGTCCTCTTCTGAAAAGTGTCTATTTAGATCCTTTGCCCATTTTTTGATTGGATTGTTCATCCTCCTTTTGTTAAGTTGTATGAGTTCCCTATAATCCCATCTTTTAAATGAGGCAACAGGCTGAGAGTGATTGCCAAGGTCATACAGCTAAAAAGCTGTGGCTCCAGGCTTCAACATTGCCACCCAAATGCCTGGCAGCATCGCTGAGCCCCAGTGGTTGTGCATGCCACATGGCATGGATCCAATTGGGAGACAGAAGCTACACTAGTAATCTGAACAGGGACTATCTAATAAAAAAATTCATTAACTAGTAACAGGGGATGAAGTACTGAGGGGGTTTAATTGTACACAATTGTTCATTGCTCTTTAAGAGTTTTCAGTGTATTATCTATCCCAAGACAGATTGCTAACTGAAGGGCAAGAAAAGAGCTTGTGCTCCTCTCCTATTTCCCATCAATGGCAAGGACCGTGTTGGACATAAAATAACTTGAGCATTCAAAACCAAGTTCAAATCCTTGCTTTTCAACTCATTAACTGGGTCACCTTAAGCAAATCAGGTAGCTTCTCTAAAAAACTTATATAATAAGCCTTATATTAAATAGCTATGGAAAGAATAAAATGAATTAATAAAAGTAAATGACTCAGCTAAATAAGTGGTAGCTACTACTACTATCATCATCATCATCATTGATTTTACTTGTTTTCCGAAAGGCTTCCCAGTATAATAATTGGGATAATATGTGAAAATCAACAAGACATTCTTTGACCTCATTTGTAGGCAGGTCTGTCTTTTGGTCTATGTCAGGAACTACCCATATGCTACTCAGTCCTATTTTGAGCATGACTTTTTTTTAAAAAACTGAATGTTAGTATCAGGTCAACATCCACCCTTCCCTACAAAAATCTCTCAAACACCAGCCTCTTATCCAAAGGTGATATTTTTGTGCCTGGTTAACTTGCCTTCAGCTTTCAACGTGAGCCAATTGGCTTTAATCATAGGATGTTATTGAAAAAGATTGGCCCGATTATAGGTAGTAATAGAGATAATTACCAAGGAGAAACAAGGAAAAAATGAATGAATCTTCCATCTTAGGGAGAAATAAATGGCTTTGTTATGGGTCAGGAGGGATGATCCTAAAATTTCCTGTCCGAGAGAAAATGCATAATGGTAGTTTGGGAGTTGGAGAATTTGGCAGCAACAACATCCATGGATCAAAACAGCTTTCAAGGGTCAAACTCAGAGGATTGCATATCTATAAAAGGAATGGGACTTTTTTCTTTATGCTGCAGAAAATGCAGAATCGGGGCCCATTGGAAACACAGCTAGCTCATCTATCATTATTTGCAAAGGACAAAAAGAAAAATTATGTTCTAATATATTAGGGCAATAGGCAAAATCCCTCCAAGTTTTCTGAAACTGATTTGGGCAAGCCTCAGGAAAAGGTGGGGGGGGGGCGGAGTCGGGGGAGGACTTTAACATGACACTTCGCTCAAAATGACTTTCTCTGGGGTTATCTGCACAACATTGGATTTAATGAGAGCCTTTCTTTACTACATCTGAGCCCCACCTCCCCTTCTTCCAACCGCACCCCAGCCAACAGTGTAAAGTGGTGCTTGCCATGAATGGAATTTTAGAACAAGGTGGTGGTGTGAGTGGCCTCACACCGCAGGACACTGCGCAGTTCTGCACAGAATGTCCCCAGGGCCGCTAGTCAGAAAGTGTCCCACAGGCCTCAGTTTGTGCCGCACATAGGGCTGACCACGAACACTCAATGCATCCTGGGGATGGGAACTCAAATGAAGGCTCAGGTAGAAATAACATGAACTCTATACTATACGATGCATTTTACACTGAAAGTCTTATCTTCTCACCCACAGACTTATTTTAGAACTACTCTTAAGTTCTCAGCAATAGTCATGTAACATTTTCCTCTCATAACTTCTTACATTCTTAAATATTTAAATGCATGCTTTGTGCAAGAGGAGAAAGCAAGTTTTGTGATTGGTTCCAAGCTCTCCTAGTCTGGTGGGGTGGGAGGGAGAACCTGAGCGTCCATGAGTCCTACCAGAGGGGTTGGGCCACCTCAGCTCTTCTGCTTCCCGAGCAAGTCCGGTCAGAGAGTTAGTCAGCCTGGGACTGGCCTTGAACAATTTCCCTGGAAACCTCCTAGGGAATGGTAACTCTCTAATGGGAAGGAACCTAAAGCCAGGCTCTGTGAGCAAAGGCTACCTAGACACATGGCGGAGGGGGAGATACTGACTTTCAGACCCAGGATTATTGCCCAGATCCTGCAACTCACTTAACTGACTCCTAAGTTATTTATTAACGTGATTATTAAATATTCACATTTTAAAATGACTCATGTGCCTTATATCAGTATCGTAGAGTCATCTTCAGTGAAGGCCTTCAATAAATAAAAGTTCTTTTGCACATTTGGAAACACTTAGGAGAAGGCATTACACACATTTGAATGTGTGAATATGAATAATCCCTGAGGTTGGATTACATCATTCCCTCTTTCCACCAAATTCTATTCTTAATAAGGGTCATATCTGGTTAAATCTTAACTCCATAAATCTTAAATCAAACAACTTCAGACTTCAGGCCTAATTAGAATGAAATTGGTGCCTTGAACAGGTATTCTGTCCAACATTATATGAGGCCATTGTATATAATGCATAATATATATGCCTAATAGTAGGATTGAAAAAAAATTGTAAGCATGTCACAACATTTGGATTTTGAAATCCACTACAAGTATGAGAAAATTCCTGTGTTGAATGAAAAGCAAATGTCTTTTTAGTACCTAAAGGACGTGCACCCTGGGAGAAGGTAAATTGCAGGTCCTTCCCACGCAGGTAGTTCCATTCTCTGCTGGTTTAAATCTCCTTCCAAGGTTCTGTGCCCACACAAGGCTCTCCCCTGCGCTGGCTTTGAACCTCTGGACTTTGGTGTCCATTGGAACATCGTCCCCACTTTCTCTGAGCAGCCCCACCCCCAGTGCTGGGCAGGATTATTCTTATGATAAGGTTTGACTATTTATTCCCGTCTCTGCCGTCCAGAGCTGAGAGCATTTTCCTGGGGGCTCTACCTAAGAGTGATGCCAACTTATTGCTTGTCTATCTAAAGTTCAAGCCTGGATGGCTTTTAATTTTTTGATGCTTAATATAGAGAAAATACGATTGCTTTTCATTGACCCTGCCAAACTCCTCAAAGCAGGTGCTTCCTTCATTGTTCAGTGTGTTATAGGAGGCTAGCGGCATGAGGCTCTCTATCCAGAGGGGCCGGTGCCATGGAAAGACAGGGCGACGGGCCACACTCTAATCTTCAGCCATAGCTCTGTCATTATCTGGTTGACATTACCCAAGTTACCTAAAGTCTCAGAGTCCCAGTTTCCTCATCTTTCAAAATGTGCTAAACACATGGTTGTTAGAAAGAGCAAACGAAACTATGACTGTCATCTCACATGTATATACATATGCAGGTATGATGATTGCTTACAAAATACAAATTTATTCCTTCAAAGATAGATATACCCTGTGCATTACACTCACCTTCAGAGGGCCACGTATTAACATTATGGCAAAGGTTACAAACTATAAAGGAGAGATGTGCACCAATTATCTTACAGAAAGTATATTAAGAGAATGATAGTGAGACCTTTAACAAAAAGTACAAGGTCTTCAGAAGATGCTCCTGTTCCACATGTTGGTCTATGTTAAATTGCCAGGAAGGCGGGTCTGGTTTCCATAGATGTCTGAGCTACAAAGAAGCACAATTATATTTTCATTGACAAACGTTCCTACTCCCTCTATAAATCAACATCGTTTCCTCCCGGCCCCCTCCAAGATTCAGCAGCTGTCATAAGGTTGCCAGGCAGAGTAATGATTCAGGACTCACAGACCACACTGTCTTATTGAACTGCTCCCAAGCTCCCTGGCTCCGGCGCCAATAAATCATTGCTTTACAAGTCATCTGGAACGCAAAGTGCAGCCCAGAGTCAAGAGTCAAGGTTCCGTGATACTGTTAGGAAGTATTTGGGAGGGTTTTTTTTTGTTGTTGTTGTTGTCACAGAATAACCTTTCTTCTGGTCTTTTGAACGGTTTCCTATTTGCATGTTTTTCATTCTCTAACCCCAGTTCAGTGTTCAGATACCACTGTGGGTCTTGCTTCTTCTCTTGAGTTGAAGTTCTTCCAAGGCCCCCACCGTTCTTTAAAAAGATAGAACCCTCGGCATCCTTCCTGGTGCAGCTCCCACCTCATTCTCTCCCTCTTCCCATGGAGATGACACACTCGGTAAAGGGTAGGCCTGTTTCCTGTGTCCCTGGCAGATGGAGACAAAGTTATTCTCCAAAAAACAACGCAATGTTGTGTTGCCAAGTTTTTGCTTTTTCTTATGGAGTCATTGGGATAATGACAGTCATACCAACCTCTCCCGTTTGTAGGAGCTTTACCCTTCTCTCACCATCCTTGTCCCTCTTGAGAGAATTAACTAGGAAATGTGCCTCATGTCGCTGAAAACAAAATGGGTGAAGGATAAGGACTTTATGCTTTAGGCAACGTCTAAGACTCCAGAAGTTATAAAATTTGCTGATGAAACTGAAAATTCAACAAGTTTCTCTGTGTATTATTAATTTCTGCCTAAGTACCTAGTACCCCACTTTGTTGATAACACCTCTTCTGGTTCTTCTAACTCTTCTGTTTTAATCTTCATAACAAACATGTGATCTGAAAGCTGAGAACTGTTGTTATAAATTAAAGACTATGGTTTGATTTCCAACTTAAGGCTAGAAAAAAAGAGAAAAAAAACAAACCCCAAAATCTCCTCATTCTCATTTCTCCAGGATGAATTCTCTGCCATAAGAACAATGCTTTCTTTGCTAGAAAAACTAACTTCAAGCTTCAAATGAGTTTATGAGTAAGAATTTGCATTATTTGTACAAACAGAAATCCATGAGCATCATAATATAACTGCTAAAGTGCAGGCAAGATCCCGGATGAATGCTAAAATTAATGAGTGAGATTTTAAGGAGAAACTGAATAGTAGCATAGACTCGAAGTACCTCCCCCAAAATGAATTACTGTCGTGTTTTTAACATATGTCTGCAAATTACTTGATTCTTCTTTCTTCAAAAAGTGGAACTTCATTCCCTTCCGTTTGAATGTGAGCTCAACTTAATGACTTGCCTCTACTAAATGGAATATGAAAGGAGAAAAATTGTAAGATGGCCTAGCAAAATCTGGTAGACACCACCCTAACTAAGTGATCAAGGTTAACATCACTTAATAAAATATATCAACATTATGTATCCCTTAATATAATGGGATGAGAAAGGTATATAACTTCTGTGGTATGCATACGTTATCCCAAACCTGTCACTTCAGAAATTATAAAACCAAATGGAGCAGCATTATACAAAATAGCTAATCACCATTTCTTAAAAGCGTCTTCTCTTTTTTATTATATTTTATTGATTTTTTACAGAGAGGAAGGGAGAGGGATAGAGAGTTAGAAACAGTGATCAGCTGCCTCCTGCACACCTCCTACTGGGGATGTGCCCACAACCAAGGTACATGCCCTTGACCGGAATCAAACCTGGGACCCTTCAATCCGCAGGCTGACACTCTATCCCCTGAACCAAACCGGTTAGGGCAAAGGTGTCAAGTCTTATTTGACTACTCCCCATTTGTTGATTTTAATTCTCTGTGGGCAATCCAATATCATCTCAAAAATTTCTTTATTTGCAGGACTTTTTCTGACACTGGTAATGAAAGATATTGACTGGTAATATTAATAGTTCACATTTATGTAGCACTCATTATTTCCCAAACACTGTTTTAAGTGCTTGCTATACAAATTATTTCCTTTATATTAGTAAAATAGACAAATAGATTTCTGTGCTGGCAGAGGGAAGCTGTGTAGCAGAATACTTTACTTTAATAAAAAAAAACACAAAAGTGTGGATAGAAGCCTTTTTTCAGGCCCAGCCTTTTCTCTAAGAGCGAGAAATTGGAAGCAACCTGCAACATCTGAGAACGGGGGTGGAGGGATAGGAACATTATAGTACAACCATTCAAAAGACTAGTATGCAACCATTTGAAACAATAATTGGCAAAACTGAGATGTAAAATGAGAAAAGTGTGTGACTGCAACGGTGTAAAAATATGAAGGCAAATGGTCAAGGAGTAGAAAGGATTATAGAAATTCAGAGCTGTTTTGTCAGGGAGGTGATGATAGGTGGGGTTTTCCCCTCTGTTTCTAAACTCTCACATTGTTATCATGTGTCTATAATTTTAGAAGGAAACACACTTTCCCTCACCATGTATTTATCCCAGTGCTCCAAGATGGCTCTTCGTAAGTGTGGGGAAATCCCTACAATCATCCCCTTAGCAGCCACTTAAGATGGACTTCAGGGCCACTTTTAAGCTATGCTGGCAGGACAGAGAGACCGCAGTGTTGAACTGAAGTTTTCAGTACCAAATCCCAAAATGAACCAAAATTTCAATCTACTGTGGGGTTAAACCCTAATCCAGATGCACATACCTGGGGGTGTGAACCACCATTGCCCTGACCCGATCATTCTTGCTGCTCTGCAGTTCTCTGCTTCACATGGGGAGCTGGGATGGCGGCTTCAGTCCATGAATATTTGTAGAAATGAGACCTCAGTCCTGTGATTCACCCTTTTGCCTTCTATGCAGGTGCATTCCCAGGGGTCTCCTATACCCTCAATTTGTGATGTCCTTATCCACCTTCCTGACCCTCACTCTTAGCTCTCCACGTCCCAAGCTCTAAACCCGTTTCCTATGGAATTCTCTCTAGGATACCAAAATGTAAATGTAATATTAGTTGAACTACTAATAAAATAAAATTGCAATTTTTACAGGTTGAAGGTGGTCTAACAGTTACAGTTTCATATGGTTCAGCCTAATAGCAGGCAGCACCTACAGTATGTAACATGGGCAGTCCCAGTAGATTGCCCTTCAAGGCCTCTAAGGTCACTTTCATTGCCCAGCAGCATCTGCAGGACTCCATGGGTCTATTTGGCATTGCTTTTGACAGGCAGGCTCCACATCTCCAAATTTGATACCGTTTTACTACGTCCTAGATATCTGTAGTTTGCACATTTGAGACATTTCTAGAAAGGAATTTTGAGGTTCCTTCTGACCAAAACACTACTAATTTAGTTAGCAGGATAATCTTATTAAATAAGAACTGCTAAATAGTAAACATCCTGATCATCTTTCAAAATTAAAAAGTGCATGAGCCTTGTGATCTAAAGGTTCCACTCCTTGGTAATTTGTCTAACAAATATACCCATGGTCATGCAAAATAATGTATATTTAAGAACATTCACTGCTACTTTGGCTTATAATAGCAAAGCAAAACAAAACCTGTTTTTAACGGACTAAATAAATTTTGGCAGGTCAATAAATCCATACAGTGGATTAGAATAATGGGTCTCCAAGATACAATATTAAGTGAAAAAAGTAAGACAGTGTTAGGGTATGTTTCCATTTCCACGAGGAAGTGGTGCAGAGATAATATATGTGTGCATGCATAACTGTGTGAGTATATAGAATATTCCTAGGTGAATTCACAAGATAATGGTTGCCTCTTGGGAGGGGAACTGGGTGTATAGGAAAAGGTAGGCAACATCTTTCAGTATAAGCCATTTGGTACATATTAAATTTTCTACTGTATGCGTGGACTACTTATTAAAAAGTAAACATTTTTAAACTAGGATTTTCTTTAAATAAATAAGATTGAAAATTAAGAGCACAATCTTGCTTTGATATTGACCTAAGGAAAAGTCCCTGTCATTGACTCCTATAGAGTCACCTGATTTACTGCAATCCTCTGTGAAGGGGTTGAAGTATTTATGCAAAGGATCATATCTCTCCTGACATGGAATTCCCAATCTGCTCTACAATTTCCTCAGTTTGCTCTTTCAAACCTGGGGTGGAGAGAGGAAAGGGAGACTTTCAGGAGGGGTCAGGGCATATCAAACAAATTAAGCATAGATATAGATATAAAGATATATACATTATGTGAGTATGGTCCATGTAAATGCAGTATTTCTAGAAATGCATTCCACCAAAACGTTAATGTGATTGACCTTGGATTGTAGGATTCAAATGTTATTTTTAAACTTTTTTTATTGTGTTTTTCTGCATTGCTTTTTTTTTTTTTTACTGTGAATGTGTCAAGTTTACAAAAATAAATAAGCTCTTTTAAAAAAAGAACGCAAGATAATAAGAAAATCTCCTTTGAAAATTATCTACTATATATATGAAAAGATTAATTTTTCTTGGGCCTTTTATGACCCATTGAAATGAACCAGAGATTATTTTTACTGCTTAAAGTCCTCTGAATAAATTTGTAGATGTTCTCTTCCAAAAACATGGTTGGGAAAGATTAATCTGTGGTTTAAGTTTAAGAAATGAAGTCTATTAAATGGTCATAAAAACAAAAGTGGGCATCATTGTTCATACAAATTATTGGTGCTTTTAAAGTCCAGAACTTTTTCAGTGGAGCCCTGGCTTTCTCTTCCTCTGCACTTCATTATTATTATTTTTTAATCCTCACCCAAGGATATGTTTTTCTTGGTTTTGAGAGAGAGAGGACGGGAAAGAGATAGAAAAACATTTCTGTGAGAGAGAAACATTGATCGGTTGCCTCCTGTATGCACCTCAACTTGAGATCAAACCCACCACCTAGGTATGTGACCTGACTGGGAATCAAACCCTGCACCTCGACTGGAGATCAAACCCACCACCTAGGTATGTGGCCTGACTGGGAATCAAACCCTCAACCTTTTTGGTGTATGGGACGATGCTCCAATCAACCGAGATACCTGGCCAGGGCTGCACTTTATTTTTAATCAGGGGACAGGTCAAGGACAGGGAGCCTTGTACCTAAGCATCTACCTGTCCTACACATTTGGAATGCAGGTTAATAAACCTAAATTTGAAGTTTTGAGAGAGAGAGGACGGGAAAGAGATAGAAAAACATTTCTGTGAGAGAGAAACATTGATCGGTTGCCTCCTAACCTGAATGAGCTTTTGAGATGACAGCAGGGCTTTAATTTTGTGACTTCAATTAAAGATCAAGGTGAGCACCCGGAGCCTGAAGACTTCCCCTAATAAAATGAGTAAACGCTTGGTTCTGATACCTATATCCAACTAGAATACAAATAGAGCATATTGTCAGCCATCAGAACATTTTGTCCCTGAGTTGCAGTGGACTGAGGAGCAGACTTTAAATCAAAGTGAAGGAGAATGCCCCAGTGCCCTTCATCAACCATTCCTCAGCTGGGCTCCCCATGGAGCTGGGAGAGAGGGGGACTCCCCCGTTAGGCAGCCAGATCAACAGAATGAGCCCTGGGATTCAACAAGGTTGTCAGGTGTATTGATTGTACACAGATTCTCATTTGCCTCTTCCTCTGTCTCACAGATTGCTTCTTTGCAGATCTCCAGAAGGAGGTATATTGCTGGGAAGGATGTGGAGAAAGAGGCACGCTAGTATACCGCTGGTGGGAGTACAGAATGTGCATGATTTGGGGAGGGAGACAATTTGGCAGTGTCTATCAAAACTCTAAATGCACATACCAATGTAGCACAGTAACTTTGCTTCTAGGAGCTTAGCTTCCAAATTTCTAGCACAAGAATATATGTACAGGGAAGCATAGTGCAGCATTGCTTATAATGAAAAGAAGTTCCAAACAACCTAAATGTCCATCACTACAGGGCCATTTAAATAAAGTATGTCATATTCAGACAGTGGAATATTGTGTGGCCATTAAAAAGGAAATTTTATGGCCATGACTTGGAAAGATATCTCTGTTAATTGATTCCCCCTTGGGGGCGGGGGAACCAAAAACCAACAACCTTAATTTCCTTAAATTAGCATAGATAAATGTCTAGTGAGCAATGAAAAGAATTTGAAAGGCTATATATTAAAACGTTAGTAAGGAATCTTCTAAAAAAAAAGGATGAGGTTAGGGTTGAAATATAAGAAGGAAAAAAATCACTTCCTGCTTTAATAATTTCTGTATTTTTTAAATTTTTCCTTATTATGTTTACTGTTATTTCTTAAATAATAATACATACCCCAGTTCACCAGCATGAATAAATTTAAATTTTTCCCTATTATGTTTACTGTTATTTCTTAAATAATACATACCCCAGTTCACCAGCATGAATAATGCCCTGAACTCCAGACTCATGTATCTAACTCTTATTTACCATCTCCACTTGTATGTCTAATAGGCATCTCAAACTCAGTATACCCAGTGCCAAATTCTTTATTTTTCTCCATAAACCTCTCCCGCCCCCATCTTCCTCATCTCTATAAATGGCGAATCCATTTTTCCAACCTCTCAGGCCAAAACCTTGACTCCTCTTTTTCTCACAACCCTATCCAATCTATCAGAAAAAAAAAAAATTAAATATATCCCAAATCCAATCAATTCTTGTAAATTCTACTGCTGCCATCATTAGCTCTTACCTGGATTATTATAACAGTCTCTTGTCTGCATTATGCATTGTTGTGGATACTGCTGGTTGTTCACCACAGTCTATTATCTCTTCCTTTCATTGCTTTTGGATTGATACATTCCCCATTCTACTTGTAGCTTGCTGTGAACATGTGATGAAGTCCTGGGCAAAGGAGTTAAAAAAGAAGGGATGTGTGCCACTTCTAAGGTAGACCTAAAGACCATAGACATGCCTCCTGCATTCTCTTTTCATTTCCCATGTACCACAGTCTGAAAGAGCCTGTGAGCCACATAGACAAAAGCAATGGCCCAGGAGATCAAGAATCCTGGATATCTGAGTAGTCATAGAAAGCAGAGCTGCCTGCTGGCCTGGAACAACATACCTCGAGCTGTTAGGTGAGAGAGGAATAAACTTCTATCTTCTTTAATCCACTGAATTACAGACGCTTAGAGTTAATCCTAATTAATACAGGCAGCTCAGGTATAGAATCTAAAACGTACAAGCTTTTCAAGGGCTTGAAAAGATGTTTGAATTCTGCTTCCTCCTTCCAAAAAAAAATTATTAGCTCCAAAATAGAAAACAAAACAAAAAAAACCTGTCAAGCCAGCACTAATAAATGTTTACATAAATAAAAATGTTAACATTAAGTTGGCCTGCCAGCTGCAACTCAAATCATCAGTTATACATAAATTTAATAAAGTTTAAATATTAAAAACATAATGAATAATTCATTCCTAACAAAATTCTTTCAAAAAAGTTTATAGCAAATGATCATATTGAAATATGGGTACATCTTATTATTTGATGTAATGTGGAGTGGTAGGTCCCGGGGCGGCCTTAAATGATGCTACCTGTCTCTGCTATTTACTAGCTGAGCTATCTCAGTCAAGTCATTTGAACTCTGAGACTGACTTCCTCCTATAAAATAGGGAGATATCGGGAAAACAGTACTTATTTCACAGGGTTTCAAGAAAAATGAAGAAGTACACCGGCATTGAAAATACTTTGCAGGCATTGTGGAGATGTCTGGAACAAATACTATTACACTATAGGTTTCCATAGGATCTACGTGTTTAAGGGAATCCAGAAGTCAATTAAGCCCGTGGTGCCCAACTCAACAGAATTATCTGAAAGCTTTTTAAAACACAGAGTACAAAGCCTCTCTCTTCAAAGAATCTCATTAAGTAGGCCTCAAGGTTCTTTAAGCTCCCCGAGCCACAAGAAACTAGCAATATTGGTTGCTTATACTGGTTTAGAACTGGCTGGCTAGGTGACACCATAGCCTGTCAGTCTCACAGGAAAAAATGAAATATTTTCTTGAATCTTAAAAATTCTGAATCACATGAATGTATAATCATATTTAAAAAGCCACCCGATTAAACTTATTGAACACGCTAACCAATAGATACATATTCCTGGAAGAATCCTAATAGAACTGGCCCTGAACAGGAGTTTGGGCAGTAGGTTAATTTTCCCAACCGCCCTTTCATGGAAATTTAGCCTTCCTTACACCCCAGATTCCACTTGAACAGTCTCAATGCCTCCACTCACCTTACCTTGCAAAGCAGCCCATCAGTTGCTGGACAGTTATAATTGTGAGCATATTGTTCTGTGCAAAGTCTGTGTCAAAGTGAGGGATACCGTAAACATCATCATGGAGGTGGGGGCACGATTTGACCTGCAGCGTAACTAAATTCATCAACTACAATGAGGTACTTGATAACAGGGTTTATTGGATGTGATTCTGGTGGGTCTCTGTCACCAAGACAGAAGACTGACATTGATTTTATCTTCAGATTTTTGCTTGACCTACTGATGTGATTGTGGCTCTGGTTATCAGAGAGCTCTCAAAGTGGGATATGAGTCCTTGTTTAATCAGCACTGTGTCTGTCTTGTCCCTGATTCTTATTATCTAATGCAAATGGGCTTCCTTATTGCCTAACAGAGTAGTTCAAGCAGGGAGGGCCACACAAACTGAAGCTATGAATTTCAAGCAACTGAGCACTGTCTTGTCCTGGCATAATGTAAGATTTCTTGGTAAGTAAACGTGTCAATGCCTCAACCCAAATCCACTGCAATAATCAAAAGAGAGAATAATTTGCTCTGAAAGAAATAAGTGGGAAGTGTTTAATTTTGTTAAACACTTTTTTTTCTTGTTTGTTTTTTCTTTTCCTTACAAATTCCATCGCAGTTATTTCCCCTCACTTCCATGACGATTCCATGATTTTGGAATAGAAACCAATCCTGTCAACCCAAAAGCCTATTCCAATTGCCCCCTACCCCCCCCTGGCACACACACACACACACACACACACACACACACACACACACACACTATACTAAATTCCTATTATTTGTTCTTATTTGAATGGTCTAAAACCAACAAATAACAGAAAGGTTGCTATCAATACAGCATCAGCCCCAGATGGATTAGAGGGAGAATGATGTTTGTGGCTCTCTGTAATCCCTCCATCAATTCCAGGATTCTGAGTTCCTCCAGGGAATGTGGTAAAGCTGCAGGAAGTCCCCAAAGGCAAAATGTTGCAGGCTGCTCTCTGGTTCAGCTGCCAAACACAGAAAAAGTAATGCAGGCAAGAAAATGAGAGGAAACTCCTCTTTGCCTACAACTCTGAGGCAGGTGAGAGCCTGAGCTCTTTTATTCCTCCTGGGGTCCACCATCGCCTGTCAGTCTCGCAGGAACACACACTTCCGTGGAGGTCTTCTGTTTCCAAAATGAACCCCACCTGCTTCAAGTAGCCTCAAATGGAGTCAGAGATGTGTACTGATGTTGCCTCCAGCCTAGTTCTGCTTCCAAGTCCAGAAATAGATTTGAGAGAGGCTTTGAACAAAATCTTTATGTTCTCTGTGCTTGAGTTCCTCTAAATCGAATGGCATTTGCCATCCACTTTCATCATGGAACTGAGGGGAAATAGCTGTGATGGCATTTGTAAAAAAAAAGATTTTGGAGCAGATTGTAAGGAGAACAATGAGACATAAAGTAACCATTCTTTACTCTTTTAAGCAATGATTTATATTATTAAAATTCATGTACACACATAAGCTATGGGAAAACAGAAAGGGAAGACAGAGCATAGGTGAGCATTCTAATGGAAACACAGAACGAAATAACAGAATAATATCGGTTGAAAAACTCAGATTCTTTACACCAAAAAAAGGGGGGTTGGAGATCATTAGCATTATAGGCAAGACTAACATTTTCTTTTTTCTACTTTGAAACATTTTTGTCAACATTTTATAGGACTATGAAATTCTCGGTATTATGCTTTATTTCTTTAAAATGAATTTGCTTTAAACAAAACAAAAATCAGTCTTATTTGTCACACAGGTAGAGCACATGATTTTTAAAAAGACTTAAGGATGCCCAAAATGTTTTATGTGAAATACTCATTACACTATAGCACAATGGGATAGAGAAATGAACACACTATAGGTGGTTTTTCTATAGCATCCAGGCCCTAAAATGGACACAGATGACATTAACAGTGCAGGTATTTTAAAATCAAGAATAAGATATTATCCTTTTTAGCAACAAAAACAGAGTTGAAATCAATGTTTTTATACCATATATGTACTTAGAAATATTTTCAGACTATAAAATCATAGATACATCAATATTGTGGAATGTTTGGAATATATTTTTTTGAAAAACAAATATTCAGTGATGTGTTATGCCTCCTGGCAACTTTTGCTTCATTTCGGGTAGGAAGTCATTATGTTATTTAAATTATATACAGAAACTAGGGAAACGTTAGCACTATTTTCCTCCTTACTGTAGTATCTCTGAACTTTTCAACGTACGTGCTTTCTATCAGATACTAAAAGAGAAAAAGAAAGAAATCCCCACTTCAAATACACGGAAGAGCTAAACAGGGTTTCAAATATTTCTAGTTTTGCACACTTCATGTCTTGTGCCCACAGCAGGAAAGGGAGAGGAGGTAAGAGTGAGTCGCATGAAATGTGATCTTGCCACAACCCCATGAAAAGTCTAGTAGATTGATTTTTCATCCCTGCAAAAAAAAAAAATTGGAAAGGAACAGTGACAGAAAGAGTTGTTAAAATTTGAACAATCAATGGGGAATACTTCATTTCATTATACAAATGAGGGGTTGAGAGGTCGCCGCCAATTCTATGGGTTTCCTTAGCAAGACAGACTCTCACATCCAAGTTTTGAAACTAAAATCTACAGTATTCCACAGATGATTGTGCCTGGTGTTTAAAAGGCCCCTGCAGAGGACTAGTCAAAATATTTACTTTCCTCTCAGAAACTGTAACCCCAAGGAAAAGAGAAACATAGTGAGAGGACGAATCAAAAGAAAAACTTGCCTTCCCCAGGCAGCCAGAAAAAGTGTCAGGCCTGGGGTCTTCTCCAACAATAGTTCTGTTCTGCTGGTTTAGATGGGGATCGGGGGAGGAGGGGGTGAATAACACACCTTTCCGGGGAATGCTAATCTATGGCAAGGTGCATTAGGAGAGTTTTGTGTCAAACTGAGGTTGTATCCGTTTCTGAAAGCATGTGCGGAATAGGAAGCCGTAAGTGGGCGTGCTTAATTATCCAGGCGCCTTTCCCGGGGCTTAGCACCGAAGCTGTAAATAGATGGGTGAGTGATGGGCACGTTTATTTTTTTCTATCAAGTGCAGCCACTGGCTCAAAGTGAGTCAGACTCTGGCGTGGAAGCGTGTTCGAGGCCGGGTGGCGGTGAGGACCGGGTGTGGGCTGGGGTGGGATAGGGGAAGGAGCAGGAGGGGGCGATGATTAGCGAAGGAAATGACCCGATCCCTCCCTTTTGTATTCACAGCCTGCGTCCCGCTTCTGTTCTCTCGGAGGCTTCGGCGGGCGAGCGGGCTTCGGGGCACCCGCCTGGCGATCGCCTTCTGGACCCCGGGTCTTCCAGCCCCAACGAGGCCTGCGGGAAGCCCCCCAGGAGGAGCCGGAGTTGGGACTTGGCGCCTCCGGGCCAGGCCCGGGACCCGCGGAACTTCTCCATCCCGGCGCCCCTAGACGTGGGCGCGGAGCTGGGAGTCCAGAAGCCGAGCCTGAAGTCGCCACCGAAGCCGGGCGGCGTGGAGGCGGCGCGGGGCGCGCAGACACCGGGCCTGTCCGGCCGCCGCTGCGCTCCTCCTGCCATCGCGTTCTAGACAGG